CTCTCCCCCCACCAGCTGCTAAACAGCGCGGCCAGATAACGGCCCCGTCGCCACGAAGAGGGTGAAACGACCTCCGGGCGGAACTTCTCCTCCACCACCACCACCTCTCTGCCTCCTTAATTCCGTTCTCCTCGTCGCACTTGGCACTTCCCGCGGCAGCGACCGTCGCCGTCGTCACCACAGCAGCCGATACCACCACCACCACCACAACCACCGTAAACACTTTCGCCACTGATACCACTAACACCACTATCGTCACTGGCACTGCCTCCTTCACCGGTTTCACCGTCTCCTCCGCCGCCGCCTCCTCCTCCTCCTCCGCCACCACCACCGCCGTCCTCCTCCTCGTCCTCGTCTTCGTCGTCTTCGTCTTCGTAGTCACCGATGGCAACCTTACTGGCAGCAACCGGCACCGAGTGATCCTCTAACTACCTGGGCGACCGCAGCCACCCGTACGCGACTCTAACGACCGCCACACTTGCGTCGATTTAACCGTGCGATTCAGCAGCGCCTGCAAGCAGAAAGGAAGTAATCAGATAAATCCTGTAATTCTGCCTGAGAATCTCAAGATGTTATAAAACTTGTGTCGATTGCTCAACAAATGTAACAATCTACCACTTGTATAAGTAACGTGTGCTGTAATGTGAATTGATATGGACTTTCTACAATAAAAGCGATACAATCAATCAAAAATCACCCCTAAATGCCAGCGCGACTTTCATTTTTCTAAGAGGTCTGTTCGCGTTGCTTGAAATCCCCACAAATTTTTGCATTTAAAATGAGATAAATACAAATTTTGGACATTGAAGAGACAAAACGAAGATACTGAATGCAAAGAATATAAGCAACGCAAACAGACCTAAGATTGTTATATTCATGTCATTTAAGGGTAAAACGCATGGACGCCATTATTTTATTACTGCGCATCTTCGAAAATACAACACCTTGTCTAATTCCGCCATGTCTTTATCTAAGCTTTAAGTCTTAAGAAATCAATCAATCATAATCGATTATTCTTATTATATTCCACTGTGATCCTTCAATTTCTTACGGCTTAAGACTCAACTTAGGTAATGGCTTATTATAGAAACTCCAATTGATATAATAAACTTTTAAGTAATTTGCTTTGAAATTTAAAAAAATTAAAAATTTTCCAATTAAATCTTGCAAACATATTTTCTGATATCGAACCAAATCAGATAAAAAAAATAATAAATAACGAAAGAGACAATACGGTCGAGGCTACTTTTTGGTATCTTAATAATTTTTACATGTAAAAATTTATACATGTAAATAATATTTTTATGTTATGTTTAAATATATTTTTTAGTTATCTCTCGAACTTGAAACGCAATAATCATAAACTAAAGCTGAAATAATAATATCAAAATTAAATTGGTCGTCGATCAATTTAATAATGAAAAATGGATCAATATATTACAGTATTATTACTGATTTCAGTGCTATAATACACTTATAACTGATATAATTATCAGCAAATATATTTATTGTTTTTTTAGTAAAAATACATTGATTCACTTTTAGAGATTATAATTTCTGCAGATTGAAATGCAGTTTAATCTGCAGAGAATCATAATTTCTAAAAATGAGAATCAGTGTATTATTACTGAAAAACAATATGTATTCTATATTTATAACTGATGATTACATCAGTTATAAATGTAGCACTGAAGTCGCTGATTCACCTTTAAAGAATACATATATAAAAATATTATTAAGCACTGAGAACCTCGATCGTATTGACTTTTTCCTTAGTAATTTGATTTATTCATATAGTCTGATTAATTTATTATTGGAAAAATAACAATTGATTCTACATTGCATGTTGTTACATGCAACTTATCAAACGAATAATCAGTTACAAAACTACATTACAAAACCTAGTCTTGTGGGATTAGATTATCGATACTAAGCCTGTTCTTTTTGACTTGAACTTTTGTACCAGTTCATCTTTTTTCCCCTTCTTTTCTCCTGAAGAGTAAAAAGTTCAGCCAAAAAGAACAGACCTATTGTTTAGCCAATCCTCACTTCACTGAACGAATAATGCCTAGAGATACGAAGAAGAGACGAACAACACTGTTTTTGCTTTTCTAGCGACAAGTATACCTACGATCGTGACTTGGCAGATTGCCCGTGTTTGATATGCTGAAAGGTTCTCAACCAATCGCTGCTGATAAAGTCGTTTGTTCATCGTATCTCGTTATTATTCCTCGGCGTGAGCCGGGTAATAATTTTATTAGGCTGGCGTATCGTAACCGCTCGATGCGATTTAAGACCTTGTCTCTGTGCATGAATCTGATCTAATGTCATTAACCACAGTGAATGAAAAATTGAATTTCGCAATAATAAAAGAGAAAATCAATAAAAATACATCAAATCCAATAAATAAATTTTGAATCGTCAATGACGATTTTTCTATTGTTAAGTAAAACGTCTTGCAATTAATTCAAGATGATACAAGAAGATCTAAAAATATAACATAGTTGACGAATTCCAGAGAAAAATGCTATTTCATATGTAATTTTATTCAGCTTGTAAATAATTAATGGAACAGTTTGATTAGACGTGATAGTAGACTAAGTTTATATTCAGCCAGTCTAGTTTAGCGCAACTCATAAAAGAATGTTGTTGCGTGGAAATGACGAATTATAAATCTATATGAAATAGAAATCAAATTGTGGGCCTTAACAAGTTATTTAAGAAAACTCAATCCAAGTTTCCTGGTTACTAAAAACAAACCTAACTTAACTGAAATGAAAAGATAGCAATACTGAATTAGATTCTCGCTTTAACTATAATTAGATTCCAGCGATCGCTTGACAGTTCAATAAAAAAACTGATTTCTCTCTTACTTTAATTTTTAATAATAAAGACGATTTATAAATTTTCGGACATCAAAATCGTCTTTGAATTTGAAAATCTTAATCTTAAAAATAAAATATACATACACGTCAATAGATACTAATAATAATAAATTGAAATCATAAATTTCTTTTTGTGTGCATATTAGAGTATCTTCTTTATTTCAACGCGTGAATATTTCGATAACGTCGGAGACATTAAAGTACCGATGACAGTAATCGTACAAAGTATAACAAAAGTTCAAATTGCTATAAAACTGCAGCACTGTTGCAGTAACGTTTGAAAAACGACGCAATCTAATGTTCATTTCTATCAGTGTAGAAACTTTAATCTCTTTAACTTACTTTTCAACTTTTTCTATGTAGTTCTAAGAGTTAGAAAAAAATATGAAGAGTAAATTAGCCCAAGATTAAAATTAATCTTCTTTGGAAGAAATAAGCCTAAGAAATTATTCCATCGTCGTCGCAATCTAGATATATAAATTCAATAATTATAAAATCGATATCTACTTTCCGCTTGGGATCGAATGTGTACTGAATTATCTTAAAAGTATCATATCTCTACAAACAATTCTAATAACAATGCCGTTTGCTCTTTGCCGGCTCCAGGACGCTCGATGTGAATATCGAAGCTCGTCGAAATCGTTCCGTTTGCAATAGCTGAATTTTTAATTAGTGAGAAATCCAGTCGCGAGCTGGGAATGTCCATGGTTTATTCGTTTGTCGGATTGCACGTACATCTTCGTAAGCACGGCATTACGTGGAAACACACCGGCGTACGATCAATAAAATGCAACGACCTGATATAATGGAAGCGATACGCGTCGCGCTTCATAAAATATCGTCGGCATAGTCAGGCTAAAATATGTTAAAGAGACGTAATACGCGAAAAAAAAGTTGGGCGAAAGCCGGCGAATTGTAATCCCTTCGATTTATCGAGTTTCTCACGATCGATGAGTTTATCTCTCCGGCCTCTCCCTCATCTACATAGAAAGACACTTACTGTACGCAAGTAATAATTACTTGTTTGAAGTATTTAAAAAATTTGTATATTCGCAAATTTCAATTATAAGTTCATCGCAAGCATCAAATTTATTCTAAATATATTTTGAAAATTCTAGTAAATTTAATACATCAGTTAAGATTATTAAATTGAAACAAATTTGCTATTATATAAAGTTACTTCTTCGATTAATTTTATAATACTCTTTGAAAGAAAATAAATTCTTGTTTTGAGTACATAATAATGAGTTCTGAAATTTATAATAAGTATATTTTAAGATTATTATACAAAAATATTCTTTGTTGAAGTAACCATTACTTAAAGGAAGAAAATAAATTGAATGATCACTTTTCTTAGCAGTAAAATGATATTTTTCTGTGTGTACCTCTCTTCTCCTTAAAAATAATTAATTAATGTGCAACACGGAAAGGAATATCTTATGATACTCGAGATGAATTTATCCAAATAGGTCTCATTTGTTATGAATATTCAAGAGAATTAATTACGCAGTAAATTTCATTTTCACACACAATATTTCATTTTCTAACGTAGATTCTCTATCGCTCACATGACTTTTTTCGCGCCGTGTTTGAGAAGTAGCGCGCAGTAGTTTTAGTGCGGCAGGAAAGAAAGGACCCGAATCCTCTCTCTCAAGCAATTGCATAAGTCGTTTAATACTTGAATATCTGAACATCTTTCACATTTCTTTTTCATATAATTTCAGAGCATAATTAACAACTCTAGTGCCGTAATGTGCGTAAATTGAAGATATCATAAAATTGAACCTTTTAATAATTAATCTATATATTATAGAAAGATATCCAATTTATAATTTATTATTTACATTATAAAACCGTGCTTAATTACATTGTTTTTTGTTTGTTCACAAATAAGCTGAAATTGGATCCCTGATTGTAATATCAATTATCAGAAAATAAAAGCAGGATATTATATTTATTATTATTATAAATTTTGAAAATGTCTCTAATGACTTTTATAAATTAAATTTTTCTGATAATTTTGCCACGGTTATTTTCAATATCCGAACGAAATGCAGTAACGATACGTCGTGAAACCTTTTATTGATTATGGTCACGCGATGGATATTCCAGATTGTATCTGAAATTTAAAACTATTAAAAGATACAAATGAATACTTCGTCTCGCGTCAGGTACGTCAAAGAAAGATTAAAATACAAATGTACAAGAATTATTGTTGCACTTTATCGAGAAATTACATTTCCTTTTTATATTCCGGAGACTAGAAATATCCCTCCTCCGTGACTTTAACGAAAACATTGACCCACGTGTATCATGCATATTGCAATTTTATCGCGTGTCATGAACGATGATCGTTAATATATTTTGCGTGGCGTGAGGAGCCTAATTGATATTACATAAAACAAAAATTATTTAAGCCTATTCCTAATAATAGTTTAATTTCAATCTTGGTTCAACTCTTAATTTATAATAACTCTTAATTTTTTCTAATTTCTAAAAATTATGCCCGTTTCTAACTTAGATTAACTTCAATCTTGGTTTAACTTAATGTTTATCTCTTTTTAGTTCCAAGAATGAGAAAAAAATAAAGAGTAAATTTAATTGAGAAGTTTAAAGTTAATCTTGGTAGAAACGAGCATAATCGTTTTTTTCTGCGAACATTAGTCGTTTTTTTTTTACGCTGTTCGTTTTTACGCTTTATCGCTATTTTTTGTGAAAGAAAACACGATAGTCAATTGAGAGATAAATAATATAATAATTAAGACAGCAATATTTGAATCTTTAAAAAGTACAACTATCCTTGAAGGATATTTAATCATAATTACTCCCTTAAGTGATCTGAAGAAGGCTAATATCGATTCACCCGAGCAAATGATGGATCGATTATTTCTAGAACTGTCCCCTTTAAGGTACATCAAATAATACTAAACAAATCAAACTAAATAATTTCTTTAAGTTTTTATTAAGCTATTATACTATATTAAACTATCTTTTCCCGTTTCTACAATGTAGATTAATTTTAATTTCGGTTCGATTCACTCGTCACTTTTTTCTAATTCTTAAAACTGGAAAAAGAT